GGTATAGAAACACTGGATCAAGAGACAAATTGCCTCTGATGGGTCGTCCAAGAAAAAATACTGGCCGTGAAGACCGACGACTGATTTTGATGTCCAGGTTGTCAAAGTTCGACACTGCTTGTCAGTTGACAACACAGTGGAACAATTTCACACATAAGAATGTGTCTGTGAAAATTGCTAGGCGTCGGTTACATGCTCAGAGAGTGTACAGCAGGGTAGCAAGACTGAAACCTCTTATATCGTTGCAAAACAGGCAACGTAGAGTAAACTAGGGTCAACAGGATCTGGAACTGGACAGATCATGACAATTGGTCCTATATATTTTTTCTGATGAGTGTCGCTTTGGTCTGACCTCTGATGACAGACGAGTACTATGCTGGCAAACTGCTGGTAAAGCATTTGAACCACATGCACTGAATTTTCGAACCCGGAGCAGCATATTCATCATGGTGTGGGGCAGCATCAGCATCCGTGGCTTGGGCGCATTGATAGTGGTAAATGGAAACATGAATCACTAGAAATATATCGATATTTTGGAGTCAGGCTTGCTACCATCTAATACTAACATGTTTGGTGACAGGAATTATCCATTTGTTTACCAGGATGACAATGCTCCTTGTCACAGGCCTAGAGCAGTTGATGATTGGTTTGACCAACAGGACATTCGCAAGGTGATGTGGCCTGCCCAGAGTCCGGGTGCAAACATGATAGAAAATGTGTGGAATGATATGTCAAAACTTTTGACAAATGCCCGTCTAACCAGCAGAGAAACTCTGTTATATTCAGTGTTCCATGCTTGGGCCAGCATAAGCCCTGAACGCATCAAACAATTATATGAAACCTTGCTTCGTAGACTGGCACCTATTATTAAGTCACGTGGCTATGCCACTAAGTACTAATTTTGGACTAGAAACTGCATATTTTGGTAGAATGTATATTTTGTTCTCATTTTGTGATTTTTTGTGAAATTTGATGTTAATAAAATGATACCAGGAGCATATCATTCCACAGTCACTTATCTCCCCCATAGTATTGGCTCAGTAGGGGTGACACTTCTTTTGTCCAGTGTGTGTAGTAAATCGTTTCATAGGACCCCTAACAGCCGTGCACAGCAGTGGCAAGCCCTAAACTTGCTGGGCTACTCCACCTACCGACGTGAAAGCTTTTCTGTCTCCCTCTCAGTCTTCCTGCACCTCTGTAACTTGAGAAGGGATAAAAACTTTTTGTAGACAATTTTTGGTTTTTGTAGGGAGTTATAACTGCATGTGACAAACAAAACCGTGTCTCTGATTTTCGATCGCTGACGATCTTTTTTTTTTTTTTTTTTTTTGGTCCAGCAACAAATTTGGTACGTGTACCAAACCGCAAATTATTAAACAGAAGTTTGTATATTAATCCGTGAATAATATTAAACCACATTCCGTCATGTATGTATAACCATATTGTATTAATTACAGTATTTGCAACACTGATAGAGTTTTTGTAAATACTTTTCAAGAATACCCCCATTTTAAGATTCAATCCTATTTTCTTGCAACGGGGGCGGAGACACAGGTGCCGGTGAGGGTATCTGAGCCAGCATTACACAAGTTTAAATACAGGGTACAGTTAGCGTTGCGTAATTGGGTCTAATAGGAATGAAAGGTGGCTAACCTGTTCAAATCATAGTGAACTGGGCCAAATACAGGACGGGACTCTCTCCTACATGACACCGGCAAAGCACACCTCGTGATTCCATGTTCGTCTAAATTGCACAGTAACAGCGCCTGGTTTTTTTTAACTATACACTTGTTTAAAATGTACCACGGATGGTTGATTGTGCTACTAACATCTGTACTATTTCTTGCCTTTAATGGCATCAAGATGAGTTGGGGCGTTTTTGTGACCACTTTTAGTAAAGATACTGTGTTGGGATCCTCGTCTCAAGCAACCCTAGGTAAGTCTTTTTTAGTATATATGTAGAGAGACTTTCTAGCCAAAGTATACAAAATCCAGAGGTCTTCTAAAATATGTCTTAAAAATGCGTATTTTTTAAAAAAATAAGTAACGATTGATGATACTGCGTAAAAATCGGTTTCCCTGAGAGAAAAAGCTCTTACTACTAGAAAATTCAAATAATGCCACGCCGCTGTAATTTCTTCATATTTAATAATTAAACTTTACACTTCCTTTTTAAACAACAAAAATAAAACGTTTCAAATATATGACCAAGATTTAGACCAGCTATTATTATTTTTATAATTTATGTTACTCTGTATAGGGTATCGAAACTAAAGGTTAAATTTACACATATCCTTATATATAATAATGCACAGCCTTTAGTAAAAATGGCATTAAAAAAGAGACATACATTGCAGAAAAACGCACAAAAGAAACTAAAGTCCATTTGCTTTGCTCAAAAGATGAGCAGTATTGATTAAAAGGCACATATAGACCTTTTTCCTACAGGGTCAATTTGCTAATTGTATTAATTTTTAAGACCTTTTTTCGATCCTCCCTCTGAAAATCTTGCAAGATAAGACCGGGTAATAATCGGTTAAATAATGATAAAGTCTAATCCACCACATATTATTAAGCTAAGGCGAAGCAATAAGTTACAGTTCTCAAGTTGGTTTTCAGCTAGTAATTAAGGGCAAATGTTTTTGTCCGTAATTTAGGACATACAGCAAAGTCCGGCGATTATAAAGACACATACTCATGTAGCTTGACAATGTGAAGAATCCCTGTTGCGCAAGTATGAAAAATCCTGCTTACTGAACTTTGTGTCAGTGATCTAAAGAAAATACTAAGTTATAAATGATAAAATCGCTGCTGCAATAAACATTTTGCATCACTGTGCTACCTCCTCTACTGGAAACTGTGGGCACCTGCCTACTGCCTTTTTCTGGCCCACACTGGGTGCGACAGCGTGGACATAATATGGGGTGGTGCTTAAATGGCTTACCCACGCCCCCTTATTGCTGACCGAACAACGAGCCAGGCAGATGACAAAGAAAATTATGTGAAAGGGCGGTCATGCCGGTATTTCAAATAGTTAATACTAGATAGATGACAATTGATGACAATGTAACAGGACCCAAACCAGTAGGTCACGTCGTAACAAGATATGCTTAAGGATATAAGACACATAAAAATCCATTTCTCGAATTTTGAAGATTCAGCACTCAATCTATACACTATAGATATGTTTTAATCGATCCCCGCCATTTAAAAAGTATAAAAACAATCTATTAGTAGAAAAAAACGTTTTAGTAACCCTCACCTCAATATGCATAAATGAAGCAACAGATCTGGGTCAGTGGTACTGTGACGACAATGAGGATAAAGGTCTTTGAGACTCAACTGAGCTGCATGGTGCATACAGACAGAGAAGTTTAGGAAAGTTGTGTGGAACGGACTTGAGCAATTTTCGTTATGCCTCAGTGTATTGCCGTGGGATTCACCAAAATTGCAGCACTCGTTGACAATATTCTTTCTTTGTCTGTGACGGTCTTCCGTGACTTACTAACTTCGGTGACAATAGTTGCGATGCTCTAGATCATGGTCACCTCAGGTGGTTTAGATCATATCAAGAGCTGGTAGTCTTTCAGATTAACTGTCATCAATTGGCAAACTTACTGATGCATTTTAAATGCATTGTAGTTGACCAAAAGCTCGTTTACAACAAACCTGTTAATTATGCACCGCTGCACTTCCCAAGCCAGGTAATAACAGGTGTCAAAATCGTCTTGGTGGGCTTTCATATTTTTCAAAATATCTCATTTCTTTCATGGGGTGATTTTATTGGTATTTGTAAATGACGTTTAATATCGATATTTAAACAATTGAGTTCAAACACCGTCGCGAACATTAATAAAAGTAATTGCTCTCAGGGTAACTTGAAGCATGCGTATGCCCAGGCATTACTTCCGTGGAAGAAAACGTGTTGAAGAACAAACAGAAAAAAAGAGCGGTATATTAAAGAAAAAAATAGGAACTTATGTACTAAAATGGTTCGTAATCCTAATTCGTTTATGCTTTGAGGATTTGTTTCTGAATGTTATTTCATCTAAAGTATAAAATAATTTAAAAGATTTATCATTTTATACCTTGAAATACAAGTTCTGCGTCTGTACACAAAACTTTTTGCAAATTTGTATGCTTAAATGTCAAACCCAAAAACATGTAGCAGATTAAGGTAAAAGAGCATTGTTTGCTATAAGTAGCATGGGAAAAATCATTACTTGAATGTTTACTAAATGTGCAGTTTTACATACGTGAGTATAAAAAATAAAAAAA